CAGGAGTCCAATAAGATGACTTATTTTGAGCTTCGTATCCGCCTCGGTGTACCGTTCTTCTAACAGGGTTTGGATTGTTTCCGCTGCAAGATGTTGCGGTATCGAGGTGAAAAGTGAGGTCACATCGAAGGATACCATCACTTTGTCCTGTGTTAGTCAAATACCCTGCAGCATTTGTATGAATTGTTCAGATGACTTGATAGTTGTTGCAGAGCCCTCTGTTAGAAATTTGAGACGTTGAAACAACCATTTGGCCAGGCCAAACGTTGGGGTGCCTCTGAGGGAAATGATTGGTCGCAGGGGGTTTCTGGTTTGTGGACCTTGGGGAGGCCATAGAATCTTGCGAGTGCTGCATCCTTTGGTTTTATATTTTGCCAGTCAAACTGTGTTAGTGTTTTTGACTTCCGAAGACTTGTTAGGTCCTTTTTGATGCTGTTTACTAGTGTCTTCATGGGATCTTTCTCCGAAACGTCCGAAACGTTGGGCAAATAAAATATTGGTCCCAGAGAACGGTCTTCTGCCTTCTATCTTCACATTGTTAAACTTGTGATAAGCAGACTGCTTTAGGGCATTTAAAGTAAAAGACCCAAACTAGCAATCTTATCGGTCTGCTAAAGTTCCCTTATTTTGGTGTGTATAAGAGTGGGAGGGACATTTATAGTGATATAATAGAACGTACTGCTACGTCAGAAAAATAAGCGTGCGTGTCTATTATAGAACAAATTTGTCCCGATTCGCTGCTGTTAACTTGCTTGCGCATTGATTTACCATTAAGTTGGTCCTCCTCAGAGTTTATGATCAGGAGTATTATTCAGAAACGCACCCATTCACTTTTACAGTCCCTACGATAGACTAAGCCTTGCGATAAGTCATTTGTTTCAAATGAAAAGTAATGTAATGCTATTTTTCTTTTTGAAAGAAATGTCAGTTCTTAGTGAGAGTCAGCACCCGATGCCTTCACAGGCACACATTTTGCTAGCCCTCTTCCTGAAAAATGATACTTGATTCGATTTCCTGACGTTGTTTGTGGATTTTGAGGGCTCCAAATTAATTGGAAAGCTCTCACAGCAGGTTCTTTCTTTTCAGCGCAGTTCCCTGAACATTTTTTTAATCACATACATTAAGTTGAGATTGGACAGAAATCTAACGTAGTTCTTAAAACTAGGATAACTTGCAATAGGTATTTAACCGGTACACGTTAGGTTACATTTTGCTGGCTCCACTTTAGCGTTAATAGTTTTTGATATTTTTCTGTTTACATCTAGTTCTCTGTTTTCCACAGCTTTCCAGTTCTAATATACCAATCATAAAAAGAAAGTTTTAGGCGCAGTAACAACAGCTTAAAATTCCCGTTTTCCGCTTCAGTGAAGTTTTTTTACCTCTTCTATCCTTGACATAGAGGACTGTAGGTCGCAGTTGTATACCAGCTAGCAAGTTTTTGCACAGGATGCAATGCTATTTAACGGTTATTCACTAAGACTGCCTGTTGGGTTTTCTAGGCCCCCTCTGTATAGCAGTCTTCTAAACGTACATTCATGTTGAAACAATTTTAAATACTGACCTTCCAATAAACAGACTTCTTAGTGAATAGAAGTCTTCGGATTACCCATGATTCGAAAACCCTCAAACTTTTCCCTACCATTCCTCTTTGATACTGACGTTTTGGAACTGAAGTCATGTAGTTTTGGAGTTATCAAGATGGGATGGATGGTGTAAAGCAACTGGTTGTTTCGACAGGTTATGGAACGTATATCTGGACCCCACACAGTTTTCATTAAAATCCAATCAGGTTTCATGATCAAGGTTAGTCTCTTGGCCACTATACCAAACCTCATGCCATTTCGATATTAACTGCTTTAGGCTTAAATCTCTATGGCTAATTACTAAGACAAATGGTACTCTCTGTATTGACGTGTGATGTTTCCTCAATTTTGTTATATTCTAATCAAATCCTTGAATGATAAAGGCTTCCACGCTAAAAATAAACTAAATCAAATGTGTAGCATAGGCTGGATATCGGACTACATGAAGAAGGTAAAAGTCAACTTACAATAATGAAAAATGTATTTTATATTTGTCGTTTTTATTTATTGAGCTGGAAAATAATTTAAACTTCTAACAGGCGATATTTATAAAAGGGAACTGTCAACTATGCATGCGGTTAGAAGCATTGTAAACAATCCTGTTCTTCGTCCTCCTTTACTTTACCATGGCGATTTCAATTTTCCCATGTCCTTTTGGTATTATCTACTTTGCTGTTACACCTTTACAGTTTATTTTTAAGATGCATAATTTTTTTTTAAATTTTAATAGCATAATGAGCAAGCAGACATCTGATGTTTCTTCTAAGTCGTTATGTTCTGATCAAATTGTTGTAAGATAAATGCGTACACTTTAAAAAATATACTTAATAAAAAGTCGAGTACTAGAAGCACGTGTGACAAAGACTGAATATTGGGCAAGACAAAGATAGACATCAGCTAAACATAATGAAATAGATATTTTAAGCTTCGTCGTGTGCAATTCAAGTAGCTGAAAAATATTTAAAAATGCTGAAAAGGTCTATTTAAAAAAGAACGCTCACAAAAAGCTTGCAGTCACAAGCATTCTAAACCATCCTATTATACACATCTTGTTCCATTTTCGGACTTAAGCTTCATCGCATCTTAATTTGATGGCATGTACTTTGCTTTCCCAAGTCTATAATTTACTTTTATTTCAAAGACAATGATCGACATGCTACGAAACTTCAGGCTGTTATCAATACGTTCCAAGAACTGTTTGATTTAATCTATTGTAAATAGTGAAGAAAGACAAATCACATTGCGCTTACATCTTGTACAATATAGGCAAGACATATTTTTTGACGGCAACATTATCTTCCAATGGGGCCAAGTAATACTATTTGGGCATTTGAGTATATTTGCGAAAATTAATGGAGGATTTATTGCTCCTTGAGTCAGCATTTGGGCAAACTCACATGTATTCCGGACTGCCAATTGAATAACCTCCAAATAATGCACGGGAAGTTGAAAAGAAAGGCCTGAATCATGAGTACGAACGGCACCCACTGGTAGTACAGCAGTTTCCTCTCCTCCCGTTCTGCGGTTGACTCAGGCACAGTTTTTTGTCGCGTGGGCAGAAAGTAGGTGCTAGTCACCCAACACACTGACTCCGCATACTCCTCCTGAGCACGGGTGAACTCCGTGGGCACCCAACACGCGATGGGCTTGCCAATATACTGTCGCGCGGACACAACCAGGGTGAAGATGACGAGCAGGAGGGTGGTGAAGTTGTGACTAAATCGATCCGCAAAATCGTCATCCCGCCTGTGCTTTCCGGCGTCGAGCTTAAACTTGGTTAGTCCCGCAAAGAAATGTGTATCCATTTTTGGGAGCTGGTGGGCAGAAAAAGGCGGATAAAGATGGCGCTCCTCAGGCGCGGTGGCGTTGTGCCCAAGGACGGTTTTTCACTG